GACTGTGGCCATCCATGCTCTGCTGTTGTATGTATGGCTAGAGCCTGGTATTTATGGTGGAAAATCCGTCCGTTACTGATCTGTGCAGACTAGTTACTGTAGTATCAGAATATGGTTAACAAAGGCTGCCGGATGGGATTGAACTGTGCCCCCTCTCTCAGCTGGCAATGCTTAATCCCACTGTCTGTTAGAGTCAGAATTTGCGGGAGTCTCTTTCTGGACAACCACGATTGCCCAATGTAGGGACAGCAGTAGTGGTTGTCTGAGGAAAGGAGGCACTGCAGTGAATTAAGTGAATGCAGTGAGTTGAGTTATTTGGGGCACTGTGATCATTAAGTGATATACTAAAGTCCACAGTGGAACAGGATATACAATTCAGTGCAATCAGGCTTTTCAACAGCTGAAAAAAAATGCTGTATTAGTAACAGCTAGAAATTGCGTTAGAGATGTTTTACTGCCGTGGAAATAATCCTCCATTTATGTTTACTAACAGTGAAATACAGATCTACTGAATAAGGCTTGAAAACTATTAAGCATGAAAAAATAAAACACACTAATATTTTTTAGAATTAAAAAGGCAGAAAAGTATGTCTAGCATTAAGTCCAAATTTACTCTGTTGAGAAGCTGAACTGCTGTAACCTTCACCTTTTGATTTCCTCTTACAAAGTTTGAAGAACAAGACTAAAGTACTCCAAACTGCTATGTAAGTTATCGAGACTAACGTCAGCACGGAAGGATCAACTAAGCGTGCTACAGTAATGGCAAGTTAGATGCATTTTATTACTGTTTTTTCGACATCTTTATCAAGAGTTGCTACGGCTCAGTACAGAGGAAGAAACAGATTTTAGAGGAAGTACCACAGCTACAGCAGTTCATAAAGAAGAGACTGACCGACCCTTTCAGCACTGGTCATGTTGGTATCGCTCCACAATAGGTGGAGCTCTAGCTCGTTGTTAACGGCATCTCAGGTTTCCTGTCATTTCTGTGTCCCCATCAAATCAATCCCTTCCTCAGAAAAAGGCTACCGTACCTGACTTTTGCAAAACTGCTCTGATAGCATTTACAATAGTTCTAGCAGCACTAAAACAAACAGCAATGAGAACTCTCGACTGCTGATGGGGAAGGCAATAGAAGGAAAAAAAAGCATTCCTGAAACATTGCTTGAGATTTAAAATTTTATTAAAAGAAGAGTTTTTGCCTAAAATTTGAATCTGGGGTAGTTTTATCCTCTATTGAGGATACAGCAAAAATGCATACCTCATCCCTTCCCCTAGTGAAGGGATTACTGTCAGGACTGTCTGCAGGATACAGCAAAAATTAGGATATGTCAAGGACCTGATTATGGTTCCGTTATCCTCAGAGCCTGTCTACATCAGCTTGAGCCACAGCGCTATTTAAAACTGAACTGGATTTTCTCCTGGCTGACTGCAGTCCCCAAGGGAACATCCATCAGCCAAGCCGAAGTGACTCGATGCAACGCCCCAGCCTCACCCTTGATGCAGTTGACCTCAGGGATGACTTGTGAAAGAACTGTCACGGCCATCCTGAAACTAAGCAAATGCTACCTCTCTGGAGTTTTCCCACTGTGCCACCCGCCTGGTCTTGGCTTTTGTTGTGCAGCTAATGTGAAAAAACTCTCCAAGTCTTTGGCTCTGCAAGTTTTTAAACTGTATTGTTAAAAGGATAGTTAATGGAATTAGCGAAATCCCATCTTGGTTTAAAAATGTCTTGGAAATACAGCCTGGAAGAGTGCACCAGGCAAGCACTTTAGGAGGAGCAGCTGAACTCCTATATATGTGCCTCACAAGTAACTACCAATTAATGTATCTTTACAGAAGCAGTTCAAGTAAGGTTTTAGCTGCCAAAGAAGAGTTTTCAAGACTCTTGCACAAGCCAACTGTTCAGAGGGCTGCTATCTGAATTGATGAACTCATCAGCTCAGCAGGGTAACACTTCAGCCTGGAAATGTGTTTGAAGTGTGTATGGCATTAACACACAACTTTAATATAAAGGAAGAAGGTGGATTTTAAAGCTAGTACTTAAACTCTGCAAATTGCTTCATCTAAACTGCTATAATAAAAATGGCAAAATGAAATGTTCTAGGAATGGTAACCACTGGTTTGTGGTTTATGCTAAGCTTCGGTCTACAAGGCTCATGAATGAACAAGTGTTAAAATAAGATTTGAGAAAGTGCACAATTATTTGGGAAGAAAAACGTTTGAAAGGATTGAAAAATCAAATTCCTACCTTTGTCTTTGGTTTATCACAGTTAATAAAATTAATTAGAGCCTAGCTTCCTCTGAGCCTTGATGAGGTGCTTTTAGTGGAGAGATAGAAGTCAAATCGGTTATTTAGTCGGGGGCAGGCTTCTACTCCACCCTCTGGCTGAGGGTGCGATTGATACAGGGTCCAACCATAGACAACATCGTAACTGTGCTAAGAGTGTCATATTTTGTTTTATTTAAACTTGCATCGAGTCATTAGGGGAAGCTGGACATACCGTGCCCCAGGAAAAGGAGTGTAAGGATTGCATGACTGATACGAACTGAGAAACTGTGCTCTGTCTAAAGGCTTCTTGCCCAGCTGAGTAAGTTCTGTGGATTTCTCTATATTTTTGATTTGCAAATTATTTGTGAATAATGTTTCGTAAACATACTACAAACTGTGTTTATGCGTAGGCTTTTTGGAACACAGCCTTGTACAAGGAAGCGCTTACAAATCACGGGAACCGAAGAATTCCCGCGCTGATTCAGACTCGCCGACTACCGGCTTCGGGACCCTACCCAGGGCGCCAGGTAGCCCCCGCATCTCTCCAAGCAGAGCGCAGTCTGCAGGGGAGCTGCCACCCGCTGCAAAGCCGCCGCGGCACCGTCCAGGGCGGA